AAACAAGATTGATAAAGAGGGAAACGTAATTCGCAACAAGGCACTCTTGGTCGTTATAGGCTACTATCAAGAAGTAAGAATTGACTACGAAGAGACATTCGCACTGCTGGCCAGACTGGAATCTGTTAAGATTTTTCTTGCCTATGCATCTCACAAACACTTTGATGTATATCAAATGGACGTGAAGTGTGCATTTCTAACTGGTGAACTGGAATAAACCGTATATGTTTAATAACCACCTAGATTTGTGAATGAAAAATATCTAAATCATTTTTATGTTCTAGATAAAGCAGTATATGGTCTCAAACAAGCACAAAGGTGTAGCGCTTGTGTGTCTAGGCTTGCCATTTTTAGCAATGTGATAGTCTAGGTTAACCTTTGTAACCCGTTTTGAAATAATAGAAGTGTATTATTTGAGTATTATGTGTTTTGTGCTTAATTGCTTAATTATGTGGTTTGATTAATTAAGAATAAAAATAAGCGTTTTAAGTGTAAAATAAACTCGATATCTTTAGATAATGTTGTAGTAGTTGAAACAAGGTTTCCGAAGATATAAAGAATGCCGAAATCCGAGTTATAACGAGGAAGTTATGACCTGTCGAAGTTTCGCGACAGAACCGACAATGCTGATTAACGTAAAAAGTGAAATTTACGTTAGAGCGATATTTAGCCTAAGTGATCTAAACGAGAATCGAAGATCTCGTTGTTAGTATCAAAGTGATAAAAAGTTAGGCGAGAATGGACGTCAAACGAAGAAGATATGAATTTATAAAGAAATTTTCTGTCACAGCCTATTAAAAATAAATAATAAAAATAAATTCAAAAATAGCCGACAAAGTCTAAACGAAAATTGTAGAGCGTAGTCTCACCTTCGCGTGTATATAAAGAACATCGAAAACGGAGTTCGTATGAAGGAGATATGAATTTTCGAAGTTTATTAAATAATTAATAATTAAATTTAATTATAAAATCCGGCATTATCTGAAGACGAGTCACCGGACTCATCCGGAGTACGCCCAGCGTACTCGTGTACACCCCTCGTACAGCAAGAAGTGTCGACACTTCGGATGACGCATGCAGTGACGATTTCGGAGCCCTGTACGCCCCGCGTACAGGCGTACGCCCCGCGTACGAGGAGGTTCCAGCCTCCTATAAATAGGATGCAAGGGGTCCGGGCATAATTGCTCATTTCTCCTCCGTTTCGTGCCGAAGCTCTGCGTTTTTACCCCCGAAGCTACCCCGAAGCCCCGGTAATATTCCCGAGTCCCGAAGCGAGTCCCGAGATCTCAAAGATCCCGAGAAGTGCGGTTTTTGAGCCGAAGCTCTGCCCACGAGAAGTTCGATTTTTGTAGAGATCTTCCAGATCTGCTGAGGATTAAGACTTCTGCAAGCCGTAGTGCTGTCCGATCATCTTCTGATCAAATGAGTGTGTAGTTACTTTCTTCTAACGCATAATTATGAAGTATTTTATACGAAATACGTGTTATGTGTATAGTTTTGTTGTTATGTACGTGAATGTATATTCACTCTCTTCAATCTCATAGATCTGATTTGTTTTCTATGAAATACGTGTTATGTGGGTATGCCTCATCTGTTATGTGGAATATATATTGAATGAAAATGATATACAGGTTTTAAACTATGTATAAAAATGTATATTTTTATCTACTAATATGTTGGGTAGAACATGGGTAGATAGTTGGTGTGTAATAAACAGATGAGAGGCCTCGATGTTGTTGTTGTTGTTGACCTAGTTATTCAGCGGAGTATGGATAACAACCACAGACTCCTTCTAGACAGTCTCGTGGAACGCTAGCAGGTTCATAACCTGTAGATGTTGTGAACGATGTGTTCACCGGTGTACTCTATCCCCCTCATGGTTGCCTTTAGGATATCTATTATTGAGGAAACCCCTTAGCAGTAATGTCCATCCCGATGAAAATCCTAGATTAGGCCCCTTGAGATAGATGTTTGTTTTAGGGACGTAAAGTGAGGATAACGGGAATGAGTAATTGGGATAGTGATTGGTTGGTGAAATTAAATATAATTTATTTATTGTGGGTTGAAAACCCTATATGCTCACCAGGCTCCCAAGCCTGACCCACTCAGTTTTATTTGTATTACAGGAAGTGGCGCAAGGGCGTAGATGGATGAACCATCAAGTTGTTTTGTTTACAAGTCTGCATATGTATATATTTGTTGAATGACTTGTAATGTTATCGTTTATGTTTATTGGTCTGTATCGGAACATGACACCCCGAGTTTTAATTATATAATGAAAATGAATCTCTTGATGAAATGCTTTGATAAATATTATTTTATCATGTTTTGTTTTGGGAACAAATTCCGCAACTCTTTCAAATCAAAAGGATTTACTCTGAAATTATTTTAAAAGCATAAATGAAAATCGGTCTTTTCTGGCCGTGATTTTGGGGATGTCACAAAAGGTCATGCTATGGAACTTTAACTTGATTTGTTAAGCAATCTAAATTTAAAAAAGGTATTGTTGATCCTACCTTCTTTCATAAGAAGGAGGGTAACCATCTGATGATTGTTCAAATTTACGTTGATGACACTAATTTCGGATCAACTAATCCTAGCCTAATAGCTTTATTCTGAAAGCTAATGCAAACTAAATTTGAAATGAGTGCAATGGGTAAGATTAACTTTTTCCTTGGATTGAATATAAGTTAGAATTTAGAAGGAATTTTCATCAATCAAGAAGCTTTTACAAAGACCTTATTGGCGAAATTTGGAATGGTGGGTGATTCTAAAGTCAGAGTTCCTATGCCGTTCGGAACAAATAATTGGCTCTTTGTTATACATAACTTCTATTCGTCTCGATTTCATGGTTGTTGTGTGTTATTGTGCCAGATTTCAAGTCAACCCTAGAGATCCTTACATGTTGGCAGTCAAGAACATATTTTTGTATCTAAAGGGAACTACTTCTCTCAGACTATGGTATCCGTCGGAATCAGGATTCTTTGTACAAGAATATTCCGATGCTGACTTGGGAGGATGTGGACTTGATCGGAAAGGTACATCAGGGGGATGTCAGTTTTTGGATGGCAAACTTTTTAGTTGGCAATCTATGAAGCAAACTTGTGTCTCCTTATCCACCACTGAAGTTGAATATATTGATGTTGCATCATGTACATCACAAGTAGTGTGGATTTAAAACCATCTTAGAGATTATGGAATTAATATGAAATGAATCCCTCTATATTGTGATTCCGAAAGAGCAATTGAAAACTGCCATAATCCAGTGCAACACTAAAAAACAAAGCGCATTGCACTGAGATATCATTTCATAAAGGAACATGTCGAGGATGGTAATATTGAAGTTTATTTCATTAAATCCTCATTTCAGTTGGCTAAAATCTTCACAAAAGCATTACATGAACCTACGTTCAATAGAATTTTACAAGGGCTAGGAATGAGGGAAGCTAACTCTATTCCAAAATCTTCCTCATAATCAGAATTTACTATTCATGTTCCGAATGGTTCCGAGCTTCAGAACGTCACGAAATTCATTTTTCAAATTCTGATTGGTTACGAGCTTCGGAATGCTTGAGAATCTACTATTCATCAGAGTTTCAGAATGTTTTGTATCCTTTCTACACTATGTCTTTTATGATTGGTTCCAAGCTTCGGAATGATTCAAAAGTTACTGTTCATTTCTGTTTCTGAATTCTTCTTGTACTAAATATTTTTCTTTATTTCTGTTTTATTTTTTTTTTCAGAAAATCAAAAATTACAAAAAGATTTTTCTTTATTTCTGTTTTATCTTTTTTTACAAAATCAAAAATATTACAAAAACATTTTTCTTTATTTCTGTTTTTTTTTCAGAAAATCGAAAATTACAAAAACATGTTGCTTTATTTTTGTTTTATCCTTTTTTTTTAAATCAAAAATAACAAAAATTGTTTTTCTTGAATTTGAAAAGCTAATGTTTTCTTGTCAGGTTAAGATTCTTTATAATCTCAATTCAGAATAGTGGGGAAGGCATGATTCTGTATCTTGGTACTAGAAAACTATCCCTAGAAGCATGTTGATGCATGTTGTCCCAAGCCTCTGAGACTCTATGTTTGAAGTCTTAATGAAACTTTCATTCTGATCGTTTCTTCCCGATCGGGCTATTCATTCACATAAGTCGTTAAGCTACCTTACTCTTCTCACACCTAGTTAAGAGTTGAATGTTTTGTCATTCATTTATAGTAGAGGTACACATTCTTCTTTGGAACCAGTCTACATTTTCTCCACCAATTTCGTGTTCATAAACGTAACCCTTGAGACTCTCAGAAATTACCACTGAGGTTTATGATCACACAACATCTGTGTTTATGTTCTTGAAATCATTATTACCATAATTTTGAGTGAGACCCAAAATCCTGAATCCCATTTCGGAATTGACGGTGAACAATTAAATGTTCTAGATATTTTCACCAAGGAATTGTCGAATAAAACCTTTTTGGTTTGTACCATTATAATTTGAAATCTCATTTTTCTTTTGAGTGATCTTAATGAAATGTTCTCGACCCAAGACAATTCTGCCCAAGTAGATCCATTTTTTTATTTCCATCATATCCAGTCACTTGAATAATATCCAAAACTTACTTGTTTTTATGGCTTCATCGGTCAAGCAAGTACTTCTTTCAAATTTTCGGGCTTATGTTAAGTTTCGAAACTAGATTGAAGATGAAACCACCCTTAAAAGCCTGTTAAAAGAAGTCTTTCGCAGTTTCTTAATAGACTAGTGATCATAATTCAACAGGATACCACACAAGCACTTCAGAGTCTCTCTTGACTCAGAAGGAAGAGATCGTTGCCTGAGATCCATCTAATTTTCATGTCAATTTTATTTGATATCATAGAATCCCTAAAATTCATTTGCTTTATTTCTTTATCTTTGGCACACTCACTGCAAACATTATTCTCGAATCCTTTAAAGAAAAAACCCCGTATTCTCTCAGCTATTAATCATCTTCCTCAAAGCTTCAATGGCAGGTTCATCTGAGCATATCTCTTTTGTTGATCAATCAGCCTCTTTAATCATTCTCAGTGTGAAACACGGTCAAAATGTGATTATTGATCTTGACTCCTCACGCTACGATAAAGTTCTCATACCCATAATCGAATGCCTTAAGGTCTCACCTCTGGATCTGGCGTTAACGATGGTGGAATATGTTCCAATGGCTCATTTATTTAAGGCATATTAATCTGCAATTTATAGCAAAGCAGTTGATTTCATTCACTTTGAGGTTGCATCTTACAAAACCTCGATCACCAAGTCCCACTTCAGTAGACTTTTAGGGTTTTCTTCATCTGAAGCTCTCGTGGATCCAAAATCAGTTTCCCACACTACCGTAATCGAGAAGTTTTATCAAATGGGATACACAGGTGACATCACTCTTCTATCCAATTTTAGGAAACCCTTCCTTCCCCCAATGTGAAATGGGTTATTTACCTTGCTGTTTAAAAGCTTTTCAAAAAGTGTTGCAGGGTCCGATAGTGTGAGTAAACTATTCTACACTATTTTTATGGTTGGTTTCATGGAGTACATCTTGACTATGGAATCGCTTTGTGGATTCAACTTATCCAAAGCACAATGTCCACCACTCGCCACACAGAGATATTGTGTGCTTGGTTTTGGTCAACTGTGGTCAAACATGCACTTGGCCATTTCAAGGTTCCACTGGTGACTGATTTAGTGATGGCAGTGATTCCGACTATCTAGACCTCCACATTTATGATGTCAGGTCCTAGGAATTTTGCTTTTGTTGGCAATATTTCGAAGGAGATGTAGGTCAAGGTTCCACTTGACAATGTTGTTGTTAGTGAATATTGGAAGCTACCATCTCATCTGGTGTTCGCCTAATAATTGACGAGATATGAAACTTGATCGAGGAGGGTACTAAACCGAACAGGGGAGGCAAGAGAAAAGCGAAAGTTAATCCTTCTGATGTTGTCAAAGCTCCTAAGAAAACCAAAAAGAAAGCTAAGAAACCAAGATCTCCTTCTTCGGTTGTTTAGGAAGATTTAGATTCAAGGAATCTTACAGAAGTCCAAAACAAAGGTACAATTCACAATGAGGAAGAAAATACTAAAGTGACTTCGGAACCCACTCCCACCGACCTAATTCCGAAGGTATCATCTCCACCTCCTCCATCTATTCCTATTTCAGATGTCTTTCATACCTTCTCTCCACCATCTTCACCAATCATAACTCCCATTCTGATATCATTCATCCCTCCACAACGACGAAATATTTCAGTTGGAATTTCACTTCCTCAGATCTCCATTCAATTGGCCTCCATACTCTTTACTGATTCAACCCCTCCAATCACTTCATCTATTACAACTCCACCAGAATTTCTGATTGTCAAGTCCATTCTGGAGGTGACTTGGGCTTCGGACATTCATGTCAACATATCTGATACGGGGGAAAATGTTCATTCTGGTGTGACTTCAAAACATGATACATCCATTGTCCTCCTATAGATGAATCCGATGATATTATGTATGGAGATGATCCAGATGCCTTTACGTGTTTTCTTTTTAGTCCATTCACTTTCAATGTCAATAGTGATGATGATGATGCCCTGATGAAGAAAGGGCAGTTTAAGAAGCTTAATGAAAAATTGGATTCTCTCTAAGAGTCTTCAAAATCATCATCTTCATCAAACTTGGAGTACATGTTCACAACCCACAAGAAAACTGTGGAGATGTTAACTAATGAAAACACCAAATTCCTTGAAGACACATCCAAGTCAATTAAATCTTCTAAAAATACTATTTTAGAAATGACCACAAAAGTCGAAAAACTATCTCAAGAGGTGAAAGACTTTATGGTTGAGTTCAGAACATTGTCCGACTCCAACACTGAAGCCGTGAATAAAGTTATTGCATGGTTTCGTAATTCTTTACAAGCTGAGAAGGAGGCTCTCTCAGTTTTTCATTTAGCAATAAAATTTGACAATGTTGAACTGAACGCCTCCATTCTTAGCAAAATAGAAAAGTTACAGGAGGACTTGGCAATAGAAAACAAGATCATGGACCAATTGGCTGAAAAGACTTAGAAGGCCAAGGTCCTTTCGGTGAAACGAAAATATATTAACAAGCATGTTGATGATCTGGAATCCAAGAAAACAATTGTTAAAAGCTGTGTTTCTTAAAAAAAATCAATACCTGCAATGTCTTGTGGAGACTCATGACTCCGTGTTCAAAGTCTCAGTTCGACAACAACTATCAAACAAACTTTAACAAATCTTTTTCAATGTTGAATTAGATTGAAGGTAATTCAGGTAGCGGTGCTCTTCCGAAACCATGTGGAGACAAAGAAGACAATGAAGAACCCCAGGCTAAGCATAAGACTGAAGAACATGAAAAAAATCGAAGATTGATGATTAGAAGGGTAATGAAGCTTCTACATCAAAAATGTAATAGCCCGGATCTCCAGGTATCTTTACTTTCATATTTTTGGTATTTTGTGAGGGGACTCGGCGAGATGGAGGTCGAAGTCGCCGAGTTGGGTCGCGGTTTTGGACGATGGTTCGCATCTGGACTCGGTGAGTCCAAGGGATGGACTCGGCGAGTCCGCGCTGTTTAATGAAACCCTAATTTCCCGGTCCTAAGCCCTATTTAAAGGACCTTATGGCCCTTCATTGCGGTCACCTTGAGCCTTGAGTGCACCAGAGCAGCTGAGAGTCCTTGTGAGTGAGATAAGAGGGTATTTGTTCATCAATTTGTGTGTTATTACAAGAAAGGAAGGAGAAGATCAAGCTTGAAGAGTTGGGGAGCTTGGATCTGCTTCTATTTCATCAAGGGAACCTTCTTGAGGTAACTTTCAGAGCTAAACTTCGTATTTTGGTTGATATGTCAAATCTAGGGTTTCTTCTTGCCTTATTTGACTTGGATTTGAAGTGTGAAAGGTCCCATGGAGATATGGAACCTAGATCTGGACCTTAGCAGGTCCAGAAGGCCCCAAATGATATGCTTTATGTCCATTCTTTTGAGTTGGAAACTAGGGTTGCCATATTAGAGGTTATTTCCCCAAAAAGAGCCTTGTATGTGTTGCATGGCGACCAAGACTGAGACTTTACGTGATAAATGAGCTTAGGAAGGCCAGATCTATGAGTGTATGGAACGGATCTGACCGCAGAAGCAAGTTTTAGCTGATGCATGGCATGGACTCGCCGAGTCTGAAGAACAGACTCGACGAGTAGCTTGAAGATTGTCGTTAAAACCACCCAGTGTGTAGTCCTGCCGAGTTGTGGGTGACTCAATGAGTCACAGAGAGTTAGAAAGGTATTTGACAGGTGGACCGAGTCGAGTTGGGACTCGCCGAGTTGTCCTTGCGACTCGGCGAGTTGAGTCGCGATGGCCCCGTGATTCATGACCAGGTGGAACCCGTCGAGTCAGGGGAGTACTCGACGTGTCAAAGGGAAAATCCCTGCAAGTTGGTGAAAACGCGTAGACTCGCCGAGTCACTCTAGTGCACTCGCCGAATCCGGCCTATTTGACCAATGACTGTTGACCAAGTTGACCAGTGTTGACTTGATATGGATGGTCAACCTTAGTGGTACAAGTCTTAATTATAGATATATGATGTCATAGGAGGATTACAGCTCGGGGGTTCGAGCACGAGTGATTTCCAAGGTTCACGAGTTATCGAGACATACGAGGTGAGTCTTCTCACCATACTGTACCCGGAAGGGTTTGACTGTGTGACCGGAAGGTCGAGTATGATATGAGATATATGCATTATGTGTGATAAGTTAATCGTTATAGGTACCATGTATGATATCCTTGATATGGGCCGAAAGGCATTATGTTATGGGCCGGAAGGCGAATATGTTATGGGCCGGAAGGCGTTGTGAAATTGTAACACCCGGGTTTTCAGGGCTAAGCATTTTGTCAGTGTAATAGTCTAGGTCAACTATTGTAACTCTTTTTGAAGTAATAAATATGAAATATTTGAGTATTATGTGAACTATGTGTTTATGTGGTTATTATAAATGTATAATTAACAAAGAATAAAAATGAGCGTCAAAATTAAAGTGTGAGATAATCCCAATATCTCTACATAAAGTTGTAGAATATGTATCAAGGTTTCCATACATATAAAGAATGCCGAAATCCGAGCTATAATGAAGAAGTTATGAGGATTTAACGGATCAACCGTGTCCCGGCCCATTAATAATATAAAATTTAAAATCGAGCCAAAATTAGCCGACGAAGTCTAAACGAAAGTTGTAGAGTACGTTCCCACCTTCGCGTGGATATAAAGAACGTCAAAGACGGAGCTCGTATGCGAAAGTTACGAATTTTTGAAGTTTCAACTCGAAAATGCGAAACTGATGCGAAATCGGGTGACGTGGCGCGATCAGAGCCGTCGCTTGCGGCCCACGGTCTCGCTCCGGATGAAGGACGCGACACCTCGCCTTACGCCGCGCGTACGAAGCGAACGCCCCGCGTCCGAGTACGCCTCGTGTCGGAAGTCGCTACGCCTCGCGCTCCGGTGATGCGAGCCAGCTGGTGCGAAGCTGGCACCCTTATCCGAGCAGTACGCCCAGCGTACCCTCGGTACGCCCCGCGTAGAGGCACCCTTCGGCCCTTATAAATAGATGCGAAATTCTCCGGATTTTTCACACCATTTCTCATTCTCTCTCTAAAATCTTTCTCTCTCTAAGGTTTTGAAGCCTCCCTAAGGTCTAGGTGAACCCCTAGCACCCTAAGGAAGCCCCGAGGCTCCCGGAGTCCCGAGAAAAAGGAGTTTTTCGGTTTCAAAACGCTGCTCCAATTGAGTCCCGGTTTTCAATAAAATTCACTGTAAGTATGCTACGCTTACGCAATTTTTAATATAGCTTCCAAATAATTATAGGAATGTTATTAGGTCCTTAAAATAATTATTTGGGCTATTATTATGAGTTATATTGAGCATTATTAACACTTAATAATAGTCAGACTAATTAATTTATCGCGGTTATCATTAAACTAAACCCTAGTGATATCGATACTAGGTTTTATCGAAGGAATATCATTTTGAGGGTATCGAAGCGCTGTCCGAGTGCTGAGTCACCACCTAATCAGGTGAGTGCATAGTTACCTTCAACTTACACATAGATATGAAGTATTTTACGTGCTATGTGTGCATATTATCTGAATACTTGCTATCTATGCTAGATGAACGTTGTTATATATGTTTTCAATGATTTAAACTGTATATGTATTTTATATCTACGAAAATGTTGGGGTAAAACATGGGTAGATGTAATAGGTGATGTGTGATAAAATGATGAGAGGCCTCGATGTTGTTGTTGTTGATCCAGTCATCTAGCGGAGTATAGATGACGACCACGGACTCTTCTAGACAGTCCAGTGGAACACTAGCAGGCTCGCAACCTGTAGGTGTTGTGAACGATGTGTTCACCGGTGTACTCCATCCCCCACATGGTTGCCTATTAGGACATTTATTGCTGAGGAATCCCCTTAGCAGTAGTGTCCGTCCCGATGATGATCCTTAGGCTAGGTCCCTTATGATAGGTGTTTAGGGACGTAAAGTGAGGATAACGGGAACGGGTAATCGGGTTATTGTTGATTGATGAAATTAATAAACTTATTTATTGTGGGTTGAAAACCCTATGTGCTCACCAGGCTCCCAAGCCTGACCCACTCAGTTTTATGTATTACAGGTAGTGGC